TAGATACTTAGCATTATGTAGTTCCTTGGTCACCATAAATCCCACATTGATAACCAGAGGTTTTGCCATCATAAATCTGCTACACCCATGCACATCAGAGTGAGAGTCACACTGAGACAACAGCGAAAATGCAGAGGTTTACAAACAAAGACAAATTTTAAATCAGGCAGAGAAGGTAAGATGATTGGCAGTGAGACAGCAGTTCTCAACCACAGCACTGAAGCCAGAACCCATGCAATGACATGTATCATCAATATGGTAAAAGAGTAAAACTAGCACTTTGAAATTCTGTGTCTAGGGAAAATATGTCTAAAGGAAGAAGACGAAATAAAGATATGTTCACAGAAATAAAAACTGAGACATATGGCCACAAAAAAACCATCAAAATGGGAAATTTGAAAAAATATATACTTCAGGCCAAAGAAAAGCAATTCTAGATAAAGATGTAAGAAGGAAAAAAAGCAAGGAAAATAGAACATATATGGGTATATATAAAATAAATATTAATCGCAGATGATAGTAATGGTAAGGCTTTTTAAAATAAAAAGGATAATATTAAAAACTTGAACAATAATAACCTATTATGTGAGAGGTGGATATATTGAGTAAATGGAGTTAAAATGTTGTTTGCTGAGAGGAAGATAAGACATTGATTAACATTAGATGCTGATAAAGTATGCCTGCTGTAAATTCTAGAGGAACTATTAAATAAAAGCGGAGTATATAACTTGCAAATTAGTACAGGAGAAAAGAGGGAACTGAAAAATAAAATATATATTAATCCAAAAGAAGGCAAGAAAGGACAAAAAAGGAACCTAGATTAGGGAAGACAAATAGAATGTAACATAATGGTAGAATGTATTAGATAGCAGACCTAACTCTAAATGTATTATCAAATATATTTCATTTAAATACATGTAATGCTGTCATTTTTAGGCATAATTAGTCTAATTGGTATCAAATAATGAATTATGTAGTTTCTTAAGAGTTAGAAGCGGAATGAAGGAATACAGGAAAAGTTGTAAGTAAAGGGTAGTAAAAAGAAAGTTTACCAAATATATTAATGGAAGGGAAATTGTTTTGCTCTATTCATAGAAAAAAATAATAATGCTATATAATAAAATACATAATAAAAATAATAATCCTTTAAGGAAGAAAGTATTATTAGAAGTAGAAGGTTTATAATAATAATTTAAGAATGTTATTTATAAAGAAACCTATTTAGAAATAAAAATAAGTTCAGATCTTGAAATGTTGCAGATATTTAAAAGGATATTATTTAAAAGGCAGTTTTATACCAATACATATAGAAAAGAAAAAAGACACTTTAAAATATCATGAAGATAAACTTATCAAGTTTATAAAAAGAATTAGCAAATATAACTTTTATTTTTTATTGACTATGGAAAAATAGAATCAGTAACTTAAAAATTCCCACAAGGAAAATTCTAGTCCACATTGGTTTCATAAGACCATCTATCAAACATGTAAGGAGGAAAGTCTTCCAGTTTTATATAACTAATAGAGAATATAAAAAGAAGAAGTCCTCTCCACTACATTTCATGAGGCTAACTTAACCTTAGTATCAGATTACAACAGAGAAAATTTCAGGTAACCTTAGTCAAGAACATCAATGTAAAAACCTTAAGCAAGTGGTAGTAAATAAAAATATATATATAAATATGAAAACAATGAAATTATAATTTTATAAAAATATAAAAATCAGGTTTATCCCAGGAATACATGAAGTTGCCTATATCTACCAAAGTTAATGAAAGAAAAAAGAGAAACTTTATATTTAGTAGTATAAAGTTTGCATCTTTTTCTCTGATATTGATAATAATCAAGGATGTTTATTACTGTTATTTAATACTTTCATTCAACATTGTCCTAAAGGACCTAGTCAGTATACTAGGCAAATAGAGATAAAATATATTAAAATTAGAAAGGAAGAGACAAAATCATTATTCACAGATGATATGCAAAGAAGTCAGAATTTACAGATGAATTATCAGAATTAAAGAGTGGAGCAAGAATGTTGAATATAAAATCAATATAAAATATCAGTGCCATTCCCATATATCAGCAACCAACAGAAAATGGGGTTTTAGAAGATACTATATTACTCATACAGTGTAATACCACTCAGCCATATAAGTGAAAAAATAAAAAAATTACCAACATGCAAATAAGAATGTACCTAAGATATGTTGAAAGAAATAAGATACATATTACTACAATATCCATTTATATACCACTAAAACCAGGTAAACTATCTGTGTAAAGAAGAATAATGGAACTTTTAGGATAATGAAAATCCTATATAACTTGAGAGTAGTGATCACATTGGTGAATTCAATCACTGACAGCCTGTAGACTTAACATTTGTGCATTTATTGTATTTAAGTTAAATTTCAATAAAAAAATAAACAAGATACTATATTAAAAAATAAAATTGTACTTTTTCTCTTTTCCCATGTATTAAAAAAAAATTTGCAGGGAATCCCCTGGAGATCTAGTGGTGAAGACTCTGTGCTTCCAATGCAAGGGGCACAGATTTGAAACCTAGGTGGTCAGTCCTTAAGAAAGTCAGTCCTGAATGTCCATTGGAAGGATTGACACTGAAGCTGAAGCTTCAACATTTTGGCCACCTGATGCAAAGAGCTAACTCATTAGAAAAGACCCTGATGTTGGTGAAGATTGAAGGCAGGAGGAGAAGGGGATGACAGAGGATAAAATGGTTGGATGGCATGACCAACTCAGTGGACATGAGTTTGAGCAAGCTCCAGGAGATGGTGAAGGATAGGGGAACCTGGCATGTTGTGGTCCATGGGATCACAAAGAGTTAGACATGACTGAGAGACTGAATTCAACTGACTGAGGCACTAAGATCCCACATGCCCTGCAGCACAACCAAAAAAACCAAAAAATTAAAATAACAGTAAGAATAAGAAAATAATTTTAAAAATAAACACTTTTTAAAAAGCTACAAAAAATTCCAGGTAGACAAAACACTTCAATTTAAAAGATAGAATTGTAAATCCTTCAGAGTATAACTGAGTATAATATTTTTATGACTCTGGTAGTATGGAATGATTTCTTGAGTAAGACTAAACAGCAATAATCACAAGAGAGAAAATTCATAATTCTACTAAATTTAAAGGTACTGTATCTAATGACAATTAAATGAAAGGAGAGGAGATGATTTGCAATATAAATAACAGAAGATTAATATTCAAAATATGCATACAGCTCTTAGACTCAATTATATAAACAAAGATAACCCAATAGAAAATGGCCAAAGGACTGGAGTAGGCAATTAACTAAACAAAACAAAACAAAACAAAACATGAAAAGCAAAAGAATGCAGGGAAAGAGGCAGAATCTTTTTATAATCAGGGAAATTCAAGTTAAAACAAAAAGATATATCATTATATATTGAATAACCTAATAAAAATTTAAAATCTAACAAAACCAACATTTGGTGCAATGTGAATTCGAAGCACTACTGGAGGTATATGAATTGGTAAATATTTAGGCTAGAAGGTTTGAGATTATGTTTCCTTGTGTTGCAGCAATTCTACTTCTGGATACAAATCCTATAGAAACACACACACTAGTACAATGTTATATATCCAAGATGCTTGTCTAAGAATCTTCCAAACATCATTACTTATGATAGCCTAAAAGTGGAAACAGTAGATTGTGATACATATATACAATAGAAACAGGCTACTGTAGATCATGACACATGTATACAATAGAAAATGATACAGCAATATAAATGAATAAACAATATGTAACAACAAGAATAAATAACACAAAATGAAGAATACAAAAAGAAAAAGGAATATATGCAAAATGGGTTCATTTATAAATTGAATACTGGAAAAATGAATATTTAAGGATGTACCCTTAGATGATAAATTATATTCAAGATGCAAAGAAATGAATATAAAATTCAGATTAATGGTGATACCACTGAGAAAAGATGTCAGGGATATGAACAAGAAATAATACAATGAAGCTTTTAGGATGCTTGATATGTTCTATTTCTTTACCATAGTAGTGGTTGTTTCTTTTACAATAATTAAATAAATTATCCTTGGGCTTTATGAAGTTTTCTATTACTATATGTTTGCTATGCTTCATTATTAATCAAATAAAAACACATTAAGATAGTTTCAACTTCTCCAGCATAAATTTACCAAAAGGTTTTTTATTGCTAATTAGAATAACTCTAAATTTCAATTTGTCTAAATTTTCTGCATCCTACACCTCAGCACTGGAAAGAAACATCTACTGAAGAACTTACTGTCAATGCAGTTAGAGATTTATAGCTATGAACTTAGGTTGCACATTCAATTACCTTAAGTTTTTCCATACCAAAATTATCTAAAAATGGCATATCGAAACTATAGAAAAGTCATTCCTCCAGGGGTTTTTACATCTCTTGTTGAGAAAGTTAGTGTCCCAGCAGTTCATGAAAGATTCTTTATAGGCACTCAACTTCTTCTTACATGTGATCTAAAGTATATAAAAGAGTTCATTTCCTGCAAACCATTTTCTTTCTACTTATTACATGACATAGACAGTGAGATACTGTAATGTCACTTTTATAGACTTTCCCTCTTATTATATGAAATTTATCAAAGCTCTTATTCTGATTTTGTGTATCTTACAAACAAAAAACCAAGCAGCTAGGCGTTGTGTAAATACTAAATTCACTACTGTATGAAATTATTATAGTGAATAGAAGATTATGCTAGTTCCCTAGGCAACAATAGGTTTATTCTTTCCCTTTATTTTAAGGCATAGAAAAAAACTATTGCTTAATACTTCTAGTGAGTATGCAAGGTCCTCTAACCTTTCACCTCTTCATTTCTCTCAAACTATAATATAGACTTTAATGTATACTGTGACTATAATGCATGGAGAACAAGCCAACAAAACCACATTACTATAGGAAAGAGCAGAGTTATCAATGTGTCTGGTCTTACTTTGCGAACACCTCGGCCAAGCTCTTCTCCATAGTTGGTTCCAAGAATTTCAAAATGGACATTGGGATTGCCTCCATTTTCTCCAAATTCTAGTTCTCCAGTTAATCCACTGACTCCACCCTAAAAGAGAGAAAAGAAATTCATGTAAGATCTTTGAAGATGTAAAATAATAAAAAGAGGATGTCATAAAAACATGATTTTCATCCATAAAATAAATATTTTCTCAAGCATGAGATTATTAACAGGCTATTCTTTAATAGATGCACAGCATTAACAGGAGTGCAGTTGAAAGCAACCTTAAGTATCACTGAATTCAATCCCATCCAATCTATTGAAAAGGAAACTCTGATCCAAAAAGTCAAATTGGTACTCAAAATGACATGTTTGCATTGATACTAAACTTCAGGCTAGGATTTTTGCCAGCATATACTGAACATGCATGGATCCATTAGTCAAAACACAAGATACTTCCAGAGAGCTTAGAATCTACTCGAGAAACAAGTTTTGACAATACTCTTTCTCCAGCACAATTCCATTCTAATTTGAGCTACAATTACACTGGAAATCTTCAAAGCCATGGTTTTCAACTATTGGAGTTTTGCATTTTCTCCTTTAAATATCTTTTTCCAAGATAAAAAATCTAAATTAGTCTTGAATGCTGTTTTTGCTCTTAAACAGTAGTTCTAGCTATTGTGATTCACTGGGAATTTCCAAGCTTCATCTTTCATTCAACATAACAGATGTTCACTTTTCCAACAGATGGCAATGTAGGTCAGACGTCTCTCTTTCTTGTTTACCATTCTTTTCTCAGTTGACTTTATCAGCCTTCACATTATTTAGGATTTTACAAATGAATATAACATTCTGAGTCACCTTTAAACTATTTCTAACTTAGAGTTTAGGTCTGATAATCATATATATTTGGACAAATTATCACAGCTTGTAAATTGCTCCAATTTTCACCTATGTAATCAGTTCAGTTGCTCAGTCATGTCCAACTCTTTAGGACCTCGTGGACTGCAGTGCGCCAGGCTTACCTGTCCATCACCACTTCCAGAGCTTACTCAAAGTCTTGTCCATTGAGTCAGTGATGCCATGTAACTGTTTCATCTTCTGTCATCACCTTTTCCTCATGACTTCAATCCTTCCCAGCATCAGGGTCTTTTCAAATGAATCAGTTCTTGGCATCAGGTGGCCAAAGTATTGGAGTTTCAGCTTCAGCGTCAGTCCTTCCAATGAATATTCAGGACTGATTTCTTTTAGGATCTCTTTGCAGTCCAAGAGACTTAAGAGTCTCCTCCAACACTACAGTTCAAAAGCATCAATTCTTCAGCACTCAGTTTTCTTTATATTCCAACTCTCACATCCATACACAACTACTAGAAAAAGCATAGCTTTGAATAGACAGATCTTTGTTGGAAAAGTAATGTCTCTGCTTTTTTTATATGCTGTCTAGGTTGGTCATAACTTTTCTTCCAAGGAGCAAGTGGCTTTTAATTTCATTGTTGTAGTGACCATCTGCAGTCACTTTGGAGCCCCAAAAAATAGTCTCTCACTGTTCCCACAGTTTCTGCATCTATTTGCCATGGTGCAATGAAACAAGATGCCATGATCTTAGTTTTCTGAATACTGAGTTTTAAGCCAAATTTTTTATTCTTCTCTTTCACTTTCATCAAGAGGCTATTTAGTTCTTCTTTGTTACTACCAGAAGGATGGTGTCATCAGCATATCTGAGGTTATTGATATTTCCCCAGCAATCTTGATTCTAGCTTCTGTTTCATCCAGACCAGCATTTCTCATGATGTATTCTGCATATAAGTTAAATAAGCAGGGTGACAATCCAGGGATGTCTAGCTCTTTTTGCCTTGACGTACTTCTGTCCCTATTTGGAACCAGTCTGTTGTTCCATGTCCAGTTCTAACTGTTGCTTCCTGAACTGCATATAGTTTTCTCAGGAGGCAGGTCAGGTGGTCCGGTATTCCCACGTCTTGAATAATTTTTCACAGTTTCTTGTGACCCACACATTCAAAGGCTTTGGCATAGTCAATAAGGCAGAAGTAGATGTTTTTCTGAAACTCTCTTGTTTTTCAATGATCCAGCAGATGTTGGCAATATGGTCTCTGGTTCCTCTGACTTTTCTAAATCCAGCTTGAACATCTGGAAGTTCACAATTCATGTCCTGTTGAAGCCTGGATTAGAAAATTTTGAGCATTATTTTGCCAGCATGTGAGATGAGCGCAATTGTGCAGTACTTTGAACATTCTTTGGCATTGACTTTCTTTGGGATTGGAGTGAAAACTGATCTTTTCCAGACCTGTGGCCACTGCTGAGTTCTCCAAATTTGCTGGCATATTGAGTGCAGCACTTTCACAGCATCATCTTCTAGGATTTGAAATAGCTCAACTGGAATTCCATCACCTCCACCAGCTTTGTTCATAGTGATGCTTCTTAAGGCCCACTTGACTTTGCATTCCAGGATGTCTAGCTCTAGATGAGTGATCACACCATTGTGATTATCTGGGTCATGAAGATCTTTTTTGTATAGTTCTCTGTGTATTCTTGCCACCTCTTCTTAATATCTTCTGCTTCTGTTAGGTCCATACCATTTCTTTCCTTTATTGTGCCCAACTTTGCATGAAATATTCCCTTGGTATATCTAATTTTCTTGAAGAGATATCTAGTCTTTCCCATTCTATTGTTTTCCTCTATGTCTTTGCACTGATTACTGAGGAAGGCTTTCTTATCTCTTCTTGCTATTCTTTAGAACTCTGCATTCAAATGGGTATTTCTCTCCTTTTTTCCTTTGCCTTTAGCTTCTTTTCTTTTCTCAGATATTTGTAAGGTCTCCTCAGACAACAATTTTGCCTTTTTTTTGCATTTCTTTTTCTTGGGGATGGTCTTGATCACTGCCTCCTGTACAATGTCAGAAACCTCCGTCCATAGTTCTTCAGGCACTCTGTCTATCAGATCTTATCCCTTGAATCCTTGAATCTATTTGCCACTTCCACTATATAATCGTAAGGGATTTGATTTAGGTCATAGCTGAACGGTCTAGTGTTTTTCCCTACTTTCTTCACTTTACGTCTCAATTTGGCAATAAGGAGTTCATGATCTGAGCCACAGTCAACTCCCGGTCTTGTTTTTGCTGACTGTATAAAGCTTCTCTATCTTTGGCTGCAAATAATATAATCAATCTGATTTCGGTATTGACCATCTGGGGATGTCCACATGTAGAGTCTCTTGTGTTGTTGGAAGGGAGTGTCTGCTATGACCAGTGCATTCTCTTGGCAAAATTATGTTAACCTTTGATCTGCTTAGTTTTGACCTCTGTAATTTTGGTACTTAAAAATATCCCATTTGCCATAATTTCTAACTCAACTTCTAGTCTTGTTTGGCAGGTTTTATGCCATCTGCTGTATCTCCTGCTTCATCTGTGTCTTGTAGCCCATCACATGACACTGAGCTCACAGCATCCATTCAAACAAATTATTCCTCACACATTCATTAAAATATTTAATCAATTTCATTTTTCCAACAGTAATAATCAATAAAACTGATCCTTCACTGTTATTTTTGAATAGCTTCTCTCATTTTATCCAGTTTTATTAATAAAAATTTATAAATTTGAATTATCTGTGTTCTTCTCATGTGTGATTTAACAGTTAACAGCATGAATTTTGAAGTCAGATTTCCTGGATGTCAGATTTTGAAGTCATATTTCAAATTCTAAAAGATGATGCTGTGAAAGTGTTGCACTCAATATGTCATCAAATTTGGAAAACTGAGCAATTTCCACAGGAATGGAAAAGGTCAGTTTTCATTCCAATCCCAAAGAAAGGAAATGCCAAAGAATGCTCAAACTACTGCACAATTGCATTCATCTCACACATTAGAAAAGTAATGCTCAAAATTCTCAAAGCCAGGCTTCAATAGTACATGAATTGCGAACTTACAAATATTCCCCCTGGATTTAGAAATGGCAGAGGAACCTAAGATCAAATTGCTAACAACTGCTGGATCATCAAAAAATCAAGAGAATTCCAGAAAAACATCTATTTCTACTTTATTGACTATGCCAAAGCCTTTGACTGTGTGGATCTGAACAAACTGTGAAAATTCTTTAAGAGATGGGAATACCAGACCCACCTCACCTGCCTCCTGAGAAACATGTATGCAGGTCAGGAAGCAACAGTTAGAGCTGGACATGGAACAACAGACTGGTTGTTTCCCCAAATAGGGAAAGGAGTATGTCAAGGCTGTATATTGTCAACCTGCTTATTTAACTTATATGCAGAGTACATCATGAGAAACTCTGGGCTAGATGAAGGACAAGCTGGAATCAAGATTGCTGGGAGAAATATCAATAACCTCAGATAAAGCAGATGATACCACCCTTATGGCAGAAAATGAAGGACTATGGAGCCTCTTGATGTATGTGAAAGAGAAGAGCAAAAAAGTTGGCTTAAAACTCAATATTCAGAAAACTAAGATCATGGCATCTTGTTTCATCACTCCATGGCAAATAGATGCAGAAACTGTGGGAACAGTGAGAGACTTTATTTTTTTGAGCTCCAAAATCACTGCAGATGGTGACTGGAGCCATGAAATTAAAAGACACTTGTTCCCTGGAAGAAAAGTTATGATCAACCTAGATGGCAACTTAAAAAGCAGACATCACTTTGCCAACAAAGGTCCATCTAGTCAAAGCTATGGTTTTTCCTGTGGTCATGTATGGATCTGAGAGTTGGAGTATAAAGAAAGCTGAGTGCCAAAGAATTGGTGCTTTTGAACTGTGGTGTTGGAGGAGACTCTTGAGTCTCTTGGACTGCAAGATCCAATCAGTCCATCCTAAAGGAAATCAGTAGAATATTCATTGGAAGGACTGACTGATGCTGAAGCTGAAATTCCAATACTTTGGCCACCTGATGTGAAGAACTGACTCATTGGAAAAGACCCTGATGCTGGGAAAGATTGAAGTCATGAGGAAAAAATGATGACAGAGGATGAGATGGTTGGATGGCATCACTGACTCAATGGACATGAGTTTGAGTAAACTCTGGGAGTTGGTGAGGGACAGAGAGACGTGTCCTGCTGAAGTCCATAGGGTTGNGAAGTCATGA